TACTATTATGTTACTTATATTGACAAACCTCCTGTTATTTTATTGTTATTTTGCTATTATGCTGCTATTATGCTGTCATTATTTGACAGATATAGAGTAAAATAATGGCAGATTTTTTTTCTGTTATTTACTTATTATTCATTCTTTATTTATTCATTCAATCTATATACATTTATCCTGTTTCTTTTTACATAATATCTAAGAATATTTGTATTGATCAATACTACTTTAGTACATTTTTGAGTATTTATATTCAGTAGCATATTTGTTTTTTTATTAAGAGTTTTTTTTATTTGTAATCTATCATTTATATTAATATTTTTATGTTTTAAAAATTACATTTTTATTATTATATTATACTGATTGAACTGCTTATTATAAATATGAAATAGTATTGCTTGAAATTTTTTTGTGACATGACCTCTGCTATATAATATACTTAGGTCTTTTTTTTTTGATATTAAGTCCAAATATATAATTCTTATTTTATTCATTTTTGTTTAAAAAAGAAAAACAAAAAATAGGTGCTGCCAAGTAAAACATTAAATCTCATTATTTTCAAGATTTAACTACTAATTAAAATAATATAAATTTTCTACGTTCAAGAGGTTTCACTTAGCAGCACTTGCATATAAAAAAAAAAATAGTATTCTTTTATCAAAGTTTGTTTTAAAGATAGATAATCATACGTATTAAGAAATCGGTATAATAAATAGGTATTTGAACAATAAATTTATATCGATATATGCTAGTAAGCATGAATTTAAATTTTAGCTATACCAAACTTGAATTCAAAAAATTTTATATTACTTATTAAATTTTCTGAGTTTAAGTACTATATAATGAAAATTTAAATAAGTAAAATTTTATTTTAAAGTTTATTGGTTGTTAACAGTTGTCAACTAGCTGACTCACCTTGCATGCTGTGTAACCAAATTTTGAATGTGCGTCAAAACAAATAATGATTTCAACAAATCCGCGCATATGTGAGGCACTAGTTAGTCAATGATCGACACAATCGGGCACCGAGCCAAAATCGATCTACCAAGGTGATACGAATGAACAAAAATAATTTATTACATTTACCTTTACGTATTTTATAAGTAAAAAATGTTTATTACGTATAACTTTTTCTACTAAATAAATGATATAACTAATTTTTGCAAAAAATGTCGATTTGCTTGATTTCTATTGACGGCAGCCCATATGTTAATCATTCTAAGTATTATTTTATTGGGTCATAAGCCACATAAATATAATGTACTTTTTAAATATATAATATATAATAATAAATTATTCACCTCCAAATTACACATAATCAAGCTCCTGAATCGATTGGCAATGATTTTGTTTTTAACCATTTTCCATCTTGAAATTGGTTCGAAAACAATTAGCCCATTATCGCATTTGCTGAGGAAATGATCGGTCTCTGATGCTTGTTTCAATTCTTTCTCCATAACTTTAATTTCATGACCATAGTTCTCGATTTTCTTACACAAATGACCGTAGTAGTATTCACTTATTCTCACGCAAATTCCTAAAAAAAATAAATGTTATGGATTTTTAAAGAATCATTTGTTTAGGAAATACAATATACAATAACGTTGATACTGTACTTCCTCTAAAAACTCGCGTCTGCAAAATTTTCCTTATGAAAATTCAGCTACGCCAATGCTATATATACCCACGGTACTTCCGATTAACATTGAAGGCCCACAAATATCCGGCAAAAAATACACCATACTGCCAAAAGGACTATGCCTATAGGGAAAGACGCAATCAAGGCCATAGGGAAAACCACAACTACTGAAATAAATGATATGACTTTAATCCAAATAATAATCGGATATATGGGCTGCCGTCAATAGAATCAAGCAAATCTACATTTAAAAAAAAGATTAATGCTTTAACTTTCATAGCTTATATCTCGATGGATTTTAAAGCTATATTGATGGTTTAAGATTCAAAAGGAAGCTTACAATCTAAGCTTTCTTTTGAATATTAAACCATCAAGATAGCTTTAAAATCCATCGAGATATGAAAGTTAAGGCGTTAATTTTTTTTTAAATGTAGATTTGCTTGATTTCTATTGACGGCAGCCCATATGGTCAAAAGCACGATGACCCAGATATGAAAATTCTATATAGCTTTTACAAAGACAATGTAGCTGATTATTTTACGATTGACGTGATTTTTTTTTCCGAAACAATCTTAGTGGACACATGATTAATATAATCTGCTATCCTGAGTGATATATTGATGGAGAATTCTTTTATACTATAAAAATCATATTTCAAAGTAAGAAAATTCAAAATACCGTTATTTTATTCCCTACTACACCAAATTCTAACCAGAGCAAAAAATCAACATTTGATTTTACTTAATATATACTACAATATAATAATAGCCAACGTAGTTTTTTTTTTAACAGAATTCTGGAAAGTTATTTGAAGTTGTTAACGAGGCCATGTGATTATAATGTTCTTTAGATTATGTAATTACATACGATTTAAAGGGGATGTGTTGTTTAAATAGTTTGTTAGTGCACTCTAACGCTAAGAGGCTAAAAGGGTGTTCTTATAATTATGGAACGGGGTTGTAACGTACGTACGTACGTACGTACAGTACATACATACTAATTAAACATACATTCTTTAGTTCAGGCTTAGCTCAAGTTTCTATTGTGAAACACTATCTTCATACCCAAAAATACTGGGTCCGTTCGCGTTTACCTAATTAGTAAAAAAGTTTTAATGTGACTCGGAATTTTAGGAACACCTTGTATTAAATAAACATTTTTTAAATAATTAAAGATATATATATCTGATATTATAAATTTGGTTTACGTACGTATGAATTTTTTATATATATATAGTTTCTAATTCTATCACTTAACTATCGCAAAACAGTTATCAATAAAATATAATATATAAAACTTGTGAAGATCAGAGTAAATGCTTTCTCTAAAAATCACTGGAGAGTTTATGCATATTAACAATGACAACTTACTCTTAAGCCTTCAATTTTGTCATATATAGAAATCGAATAGAAAGATATTCCAAGCTGTTGGTTTAACATTTACATTGATTCAACGGATAACAAATGTAAATTTAGATTTGCCTGATAATAGTAGGTTGTTCCATGCATGTCTGACAAAAAAATTTAGGTTCCCTTATTTGTGTATACATGAGTGCAGGAAAGGAAAAGAGTGACTTGCAGCCGTCTTTGACGATAAACAAAGCATAGAACCCTCTAAAACCTAAAGTTTTTATCTTCCGAATTGCGTATGATATAATTTGAAACACATTTCATAAAATTCAACATTTCACTCGTTCTATGCAGTAATTCTGTCAATCCATGCCTTCGGAGAAAAAGAAGTGCTCCTTGCCTCTGCCTGAAGGTTTAGATTTCACCACTCGACCAAAAGATACTTTGGTTGAAGATTTAAGATACGCGCTTGAACATGCAAAAGAGTTATATGCTGATATAGCGTGGGATTTCACCTTGGCGCCTAGTCCGACTATCATCTATGCACACAAAGGTATTGCTCTATTCCTATATTTTGTTACAATACCGTGACTCTGACTAGTGTATTCCCTTGTTTCGATAAAACTTGAAGATATTAATATCCCATATAATCTTTTTGTATCAACAAATTTGTAAAAAAAAAAAGAGAGAATTTATTCTAATATCAGTTTCTATTATATAGATATATATGTATATATAAGTTAAAATTAAATATTCACCAATTATCTTGTTTTTATTTAATTTCTAGCCATTTTATATGCTCGAAGTTCACGATCATTTCAAGAACGTTTCTTAAAAAATAAGGATGCGAATGGAATGTCTATACGGTCTATGCGGTTGTCCAATACAGACCCGGTTACAGTGAAGACTGATGCGGATCCATTCTTATTTAGACAAGAATTAAAATTTTTTTATACTGCTGAAGAAGGCAGTGAAGATTTTTTACAAGCCGTTGATACTACAGATGAACTCGAACAGGACAAGCTAAAGGACGATTTATTATACATGCTTAAATCAAAATTATATACAAATGTCGAGTTGATATTAGAATTTATGGAGGATGATCTTGAAATTATTGATGAGGACGAAGATGAGGGAGTTTTCAAACCTCTAGTAATTAGAGCTCATCGTTTTATGTTGTCATCAAGGTCTGAATATTTCAAAAAAATGCTTGGCTCTGATTTCATTGAAGCACGTAATTCCGCTATCAGACTTGATGCATCAATTTTTAATCAAACTTCAATCAATTTGATTCTTACTTTCATTTATACTGGTAATCTTTCATCTTCTTCAAAACCTTTAACTTTAGAAACTTGTGAATGGGTGTGGATTGGAGCGGACTTTTTAAATATAAAAATTCTTTGTGAAGAATGTATTTATCGTATTGCAACTAAAGTGCATTTTTTTAAATGTACCTGTGGCGAATGTCAAATTGTTATGCCTAGGGTGGCTGCATTCGCTAAAGAGCACGATGTTGAAAAACTATGGAAAGGATGTCTACATGCTTTATCTCGGGGATTCGATAGCATGTGGCCTAATAAAGAGTTTGCAAATCTTGATGAGGATACCAGAGAGGAAATTCTCATGATATTGCTTGCAAGTATTCAAAGAAATAATGTCATTGCTACCTTCAAGGGATGTAGGAATATTATTTCTGTAATTGACATAAAAGGGATAGGTCTGCCTTGGATAGAGACTGTTCGTCGTATGACTAATGAGGTTAGATCATACGCGGCTAAAATTTTAGTTGATAATTTTGAGCAAATTTGTGATGAAGATCAAGAATTTTTAAATTGTGTGGATGGTGTTGGATTTAGTTCAGATATTTTAGAGGACATTATGAATATAGTAGTTGAAGAAAGTTTGACGGAACAAAATTCTGCACGCATTCTCAAATGTATTACTGGAAAATTATTAACTAGACCTGCTGTTTTGAGTGCGGAGAATGTAGAAGCAAAAAGATTGCTAACACAGTCCAAACAAAATGTCTTTAATTATATGAAAAAACGATGGTTAGGAGTGAAACAGTATGGTGGTTTCAGGCTACTAAGTCCGTGGTTGTTGGATGAATTTGTGAAAGGTAAGGTTTTATTTCTGGGAACGTTGATTATTGTAAAAGATATTTATAAATCTGTTTCTTATATTATCTATGTATATAATATACATACACACGTATATATATATATATATTTTTTTTTTTTTTAAAAAAAAAAGAACTAAATGTAGACCGAAGCGAGTTACAGGCACTCGTTGATTCGACCCAAGTTCCGACTCAAGTTCAAACTCCAAAACCAAAAACTAGAACACCTAGTGCAACAAATGGATTATCTAAAAAAGGCATGGCATCACCTCCTCCAAAGGTTGCAGTTACTACTCCAAAGGTTGCAGTTACTACTACAACGGCTACGACTACAACAGCTACAACGGCTACAACGACGCCAACAGAACAAATGACATCAAAAAATGTTACAAGTCAAAATACAAAATCGATTCCAGAAATTGTGATCCCTGACGATGTCAAATCTTCAGCCGAATCAACAACTGGTAATGCTACTGAAAAAACTACGCGAACTACTACTACTAAAAGGGTAAAAAATGTACGCATTGTTGGTGATACACCTATGTGGGATCGACCTACTCGTGCTAGTGTTTTACGTCAAAAGGCATTGGCAGAGTCTTCAGCAAAAAATCCTGTAAAGCCGCGAATAAAAAGTACGTCAATACCGCCGAAGCCTTCGTCAGCAAGCTCTGCAAAAACGACTAAAACATCTGCCACTACAAACAAAACTGATCGCACCCTACGAAATTCATCGTCATCGTCTAGTCTTCGAGTTCCTAAGACGTCTCCTGTTACACAAAGAGGACGACCCACTACCAAGCAAGCTACATCAACTACTTCTTCACGTACAAGTTCGATTTCATCTGCAAAGTCAGTTAATTCGCCATCCGTATCCCCATCACGATTTAACGGTGTACGACAAACTCGTGCTAGTATGCTAAGACAACTCAAATATGACGATGCTCAACAACGACGAGGTCGCGAGCGAGAACGAGATGTGACGCCAAAATCTTCTAGAGCCAGTTCTATTGCTTCAACTTCGTCAGTCACAACGACTTCCTCTTCTCATCACAAAAGGAACCGCTCTCCATCCATAGTTTCAACCACATCTAGTTCAAATGGTGTCATTACCAGCTTGCAACCTAAGCCACATCAACTTAAATTGGCTACTAATCCTTCTGCAGACATTTCTGTTGGAAGGCGCATAATACTTCCAACAAAGAACAATGCTCCAGGCTGTATACAATTCCTAGGTGAAACCGATTTTGCTAAAGGAATTTGGGTGGGTGTAGAATTAGATAACCCTGGTAAGTTCCGGATTCCAGTTAGCTATTATGTTATGTTCACCTAACTCTAACTTTCTTTTTCTTTTTTTATAGTTGGTAAAAATAATGGTATTGTAGCTAGCAGAAAATATTTTGCTGCTGCACCTAATCACGGCATATTTGTTAGACCTGATTCACTTTTGTTAATATGAGTCAACTTTACTTGAATATCAACCCGAATGGACTTGGAAAAAATCAATATAATAATCGCTAAGAGAACAATATGCATGCGCACATAAGCGTACTTTCATTCATTTCCTGCGTATATTTATGTATACATTACAAATATTTCCCTTTTTTATCACTTATTAATCTCAACCATTTTTATTTCTATATTTTATAATTTCACGTTTAGAATTTGTTTGCATTTTTGTTATCCAATTATTGAGTTTAATTATATTTATATTATTATAATCTTGTCTCAATTATTCAACTCTTGTATTATACATTATTTATTTAACAACCTTGTTTTCATAAAAGTGGTTGAGATTAACAAAAATGGGAATAGAAAAAACGGAATATTACTAAATTATTTACTATAACATCAAAAAAGAAAATAAATATCGCGGTTTAACATAAACTTTCTATGTGGTACCAGTTTGAACCGTGTTTAAGTCATTGTCTTAACATTCATTTTTTGGTTGTAATTACATTTCAATCATATAGTGCGGGACACCTTAAAAAATTTTGTTGCTAGATTAAGGTTAAGTTTTACTATTAATTTAGGCTAGGAAGAGTTTTTCTAATCCCAAAATTTCACAAGGAAAACTTTTGTTAATGCGCAGAAGGTGGGTTTCCTTCGTATACGTACGTAATGTTACACCAAATCATCATGCATGATTATTTGTTAACCACTCATTGGTTATAATTCTGCCAAAATTTAAATTATTATACTCAAGATCTGGTCAAGTGATCGCCAATTTTGACCTAAATTATGACTATTATATTTATTATAATGTGCAAGCCTGCCGATAAGAGCGATGAATAATGAATCTAAGTAAAAATACCTTTTCAATTTCTTTTTGAATGAATTTCAATGCTGATTCTGCAATTTCAAACAACTATAAAGATTAAAAACAGACTCTTAGATACGTGTATGTTAAAAAATAATAAATAAATAAATAAAAGTAAAAATAAAAAGCCAGTTTAAAAAACAAATCACAAACTTCCGAACGTGCTTCTTTATTTGTATTACTTGACCTTTAAAAATAAATATATTAATGGTTAAATTATATACATCTTATATCAACTATGTTCATTGCTAGCAAAAATGAAAGAAAACTACCTTCGTTTGTGACAATAACTGTGGATATGTTGGGAATGGTTGAGGTTGAAGTGTCGGTGTTTGTTGTGATGCTGATGGTGGTTGAGGTGCTGGTAGTGGTCTTGATTGCTATATTAGACATATCATCCTAGTATGTAGTAAAAAATTAAAATACTGTAATAGTATAAGTCAACTAGTTGATACGTACTGGAACGCTTTATTGAATCTATTTTTAATATTATTATCAAAAATAGAATCGAATTAATAGCAATATTTTTTATTGTCTGGAGCGAAGCGACAGACTTATTAGTAGAAAACTTCTTTAAAATAACTTAATATCACCTTGAAATCAACTATTAATTAATCAAACATGTACAGTTGCCTCTATAAATTTTAAAATTGAACATATATATAATTTATTTATTTATTTTTTATTATATACAAAAAAATTTTTTTATAAAATTTAACTAATACTTTGTTGCCCCACCATCTGCATCTAAAACTGCCTGATTCTGACCGTCATTGAGTCTACAGACGTCAAGAAATGAGATGTATCGAATTTTGACCACTTCTTTAACGCAGCTTTGAGATCCTTCTTATTTTTTGGAAAGTTTTCACGTTTTGAATATTATCCTTTATCATCTTCCAAACTTTTTCTATATGGTTTAGATCAGAACTCGAGGATCATTCTAAGCATTTGATTTTTTTCTTTTAAGTCAATTTTTGATGATTATTACAGTATGGATTGGGCAGTTATCTTGCTGAAATACCCACCAACAAGTAAACAAGTTGAATTATAAAATATAATTAGATTGTTTTTAAGAATTTTTATATAAATTTATTTATTTATTTTTTGCTTTGGTTCTTTGTATTTATTAATGGGCCTTTTATTTCTTCTACAAAACATTTTCACATTATTATTGAGACCTGATCATTTTTAAACATTGACACAAACTATTCTTTTTTAAACCTTTCACTTCTATAAAGTTACTTTTATTTGTTAAGATGTTTTTCTACCTTCATACTCATTTTATCTGAAATAACATAATATCAAAAATAAAGATCTTTATTAAGATGTTTTTGACACTATTTTTTTGAACAATTTTGTTAATTTTATTAATAAACAGTTTTTTTGTTATTATATAAAATCAGATCTCTAATTTATAGAGTATTCTACAAGCAGTTGTTAAGCTAAAAGAAGTTTCAAATCAGCAATAATTGCATGAAGTAACAGCTTATGCCTCTTTTTTATAACTACATGTTAAAGCACAACATTTTGTTATTTGGTAAGAACTAAGAAGTCTTTTAAACTATAATAAATTTTTATTTTTTTAGTTTTTTTGACTTTCTTTAAGAACTGTCTTATTATTATAGAATTATGTTTTATTTTTACAGCAACTTGTTCATATCTTTAATATAAGCAAGTATTTTTTTTCTTTTTTTGCATTCATTATTTGAATTTGAATTTTGTTTATATTAATAATATTTTTTTTTGGTTAAACCAGAGAAAAAAAATTTTGCTTCCAATTATTCAATTAGATGTAAATACATATAGTATTTATATTTGATTATATAATTGCATATATAAATTAGTCATTATTTTTATTTATTTATTTTTTTTTGGTGTTAAGATAACCTCTTTGGTCTTTTGACTTTTATTAATTACTTATTGGTATTGTGGTTTAATGAACTACTACAGGAGAGCATACAATTGGCTATATGTATAACTTTCTATATTATCTATTTAAGAAGTCTGTCCAAAGATTCTCTACTAATTGCTATACCTAACACCCCTACTTGGGTATTCTACTTTAAACCCTCTGAACCTGTAATCTATGTTAACATTACTGAGTCATACCCAGATGCTCAGATCATCATCTCAACCTTAAGACTAATTTATCCTCAAGATAAACCCTTCAGAGCCTTCTGTATCCATTTTTACAGTTGATCTAGGTATTGCTATAGCAGAACCAACACTTACAATCAGAACTAACCATTAAACTGCTATGCCTTTGTAGAGTTCACTTAGACTCTAGCATCTATTTCATAGCATAACCCTAGTACTTTAGTATACCTCTGCCTTTTCTTCTGCCTTTTTACCAAACTCCCAATCCAGATAGCCCATATAGGATTATGACCAGTCTATTGATATATTAGGTTAGCCTGATATCCTTTTCCTCCAGTTCATTTTGGCAGCCTAGTTGGTGGTACTTCTGAGACTCTCAACCTAAAGGTTCTTACCTGTTTAGTTACTAGGACCGGGTACTAGACTTAGGTATCTGTTTTGCTGAGCTAGTCTTTACAGTAGGACTGTTGAAGATCCAGCTACCTCTCTATTTAGGTCTTCCCAAATAAACTTCTTGTTACCTAATTTTAATAGATTTACATAACCATGAGGACTTATTTAATGTTTGCACTGCCCGTTATATCAGTTTGCATTCCTCCATGTAACTCCAACATTGCACAGATGCCTTATGACCTGCCAGTTATGCTGATGTGACCATCATTACAGGTATCCTAACCCAACTGTTAGTAACAGTTGCTATAATACAAATATTACATAGGTAATTATCCAAATTTTCATCATCAATGGAATTTGAACACCTAACCTACTATTTGGGAGTTGACAACCTGATCACTTTACTAGGTCGCCACATTCCTACTTTTATAGACAACTGTACATTTATATTAATATTAATATACTTACCAAAAAGAAACTTAAATCTTTAAAATTAGTTTAATATTATTCTGAAAATAATTATTAATTAATCAAGTATATATAATTATACTAATGTTAATACTAATATATTTAATAAAAAAAACTTAATTCTTCAAATTAGTTTAATGTTAATTTGAAATTATTTATTTATTTTTTAAATATTAAGATAAATACTTGTAATTCAAGATTTTATTAATAGTATATTTAGCTAATAGTTATATTACAACTACAGAAAACAACTATAGAAAGAGTATATAACTAATTACTTGTACAACTTTAGTTATTGTTTAATTTAAATAGTTTGTTTAAAAGTTCTATACTAGTAATCATATCTAAAAATTGCATATAAGTTTTTTATTTAAATACTTTAGTTTCTGTATCTACTTATCTATTTATACTTATTAATAATCTTAGTTAATATTGGTGAAAATATGTTATAATTACTAAGTTTTTAAGGCAGCTTACTCATATAAAAAACTTTTAAACTTATACTAAACTTTTCAAAATTTTTTGTATTCTATTCTTATAGCTAATTTAGTAATATTATAACTAAAACTAATATTTGCAGTTAGGACTTATCAATAAACTGTTATGTTCTTATAAAGTTTATCTTAATTTTAATATTTATTTTACAATATATTTCTATTATTTTGGTATTTAATTTAAGTTGTATCAAGCTTTTAGTTTAAATAACTCAAAAAGATAAATACAATTATACATTTAGATTACATATTTTTTAATATATAATTTTTTTTTTAGAGGGTTTTAATAGTCTGCTGATTATAATAATCTTTTTTTAAGATCAATATATTATTTAACTTCATAAGTTTTAGTTTTATTTTCTAGATTTAGTCTTTATAGTAGTACTGTTAAAAGTTTAAGTTATCTCTTTACTTGAGACTTTCAAGTAGATTTTTGTTTTTCTAGTTTCTGTAATTTTATATAATAACAAAAACTTATTATAAATTCATATTATCTAATAGTTTGTATTTTTTTATATAATAATATGTTATATAAATATCTTATAACCTTTTAATTATACTGATATGACACAGGTAACAAGTATTTAATCTAACTAATAATAAAAAATAGTTAACTATATTACAGAAAAATTCTTAAATTTTCATTATTATTAGAATTTGAACTTTAAACCCAACACTTGAAGGTTA